TATATATAAAACCCAAAGCAACAACCCCCAAAATGGACTTACACACAGGTATGGATTTGTCCCTCATTAGAAAACACACTGTGTGTATATCTATTGGTTGTCCCTGAATGGCACAGCACTGGCTATTGGAATGGGGTCAGGAAGAAAGGGGTCCTTTTTTTCCCCGGTTTGCTTTAAAACCTACAGTGAAATTACATAAGATGAACAAAAGCAGAGTAGTCACAGGAACAATAGATCCTGTTTACATATTGGCACCTTATTGTTGTTGCCATTGTTATTACTACTCTCCAATTTGACTTCTAGTTTTTACTTCCCAGGAATTAATACCTCTATACATGTTTTTTTCCATATATTCTCTCTCCTCAGAAGAAGCTGGATGCAGGTTCAGGCAGAATGAACCACTTAAAAATCTAAATGGATGCTGGGACTCTGGAGATTCTTGCCCTGATGAACTTTTCCGGCCTTCTTTCTGAGAGATTATCAATCATTTAGAAAATTATGGTTAATTCTACATAACGAGTAATTTTTAGTGACCTTTCCTTCCACCATATGCTTTTGGGCAATGATTTGAGATAGTTTTTCACCTGCACCACTGGCATTAGATACCAGCCTTGCATATTTGTGTAAATGTTTTTTTCCGGTACAAGGTCCCCATTACTGGTACAGACAGTTCTCTGTCCTGGGTAACTATTCTTTCAGCAAACAGACTGGTCCTTTGAACTACTTATCATTACTGAGTGATGTGCTGGGAGAACCACCCGCGCTAAATACACCAGAAAACCTGGTGGTGGTGTGGGATGGGTTAAATTTCAGCCCAATTTATTTAGCTCACACAAAAATGTCTAATTGCTTCTTGGTCTGTAGACTTAGCAATTGAAAAACCCCACATACAAAAATGCTATTAAGATTGGGGGTAAAAAATGGAAAACCATACTGAATGAAAAAAACAAAGTACTGCTTGCTGGTTTACAAAAAGTCTATAACACTGATAAAATCTTCAAAAACCAATGTGCTTTTTTTTTTTTTTTTCTTTTCTTTTTTCCTTGTCCTTCTTTATTTTGGCTTCATTTCAACCCGGGAGTTCATATCATCTCCTTCCAGATCATATTCTTCTACTTGGCCGCTGGTCCACACCTTCATGCGGTCAGTCAGGTCGCTGCTTCTGGGAGCCAGGATGAAGTCGTAAATCAGGGCAGCGCTTGCTCCTCCAATGATTGGGCCAACCCAGAAGATCTGAAACACAGTTCCAAGGCCAGTTAATACATCGGGTATTACTGCATTCGAAGCTGTTTTGAAAAATCTTCTCTGAGGATTTTCACCACAACATTTACAGTGAAAACATTAAAATTACAGGTTGTCACCTGAATATTTACTTAACCACATGTCAAGGAACAAGGAATTTCTCATCATGAGTTGGCAATAGACCCAGAGATTAATAACTCTATATTGTCAAGTTCTGATATCTAGAATTAGGTGTCTACTGGTAAAACATCTCTGTTACTCCAGATGGATTTGGCTTGGCAGGGGGGCAAAATTTTTAAAAGCAACAAGGGTACTAGATTCCATTCTTCCACCAATTTTCAGTAATAGGTGAATTAGAAAGTAACATTTAGTGAGGACCCAATTAGGGGTTTAATTTGCTACTAGCTGCTGTTTAGCTAATGATATTGCTGTAATTGTACTTATCTAATCACTTAAGGCAAGTAAAGTTTGGAGGTAGAGGTAATAAAAGTATTTTAATAGACGGGTTGATTTTATTAAAAATAACAGAAGATTTTGAAGGGTTTGCATGGCCAAAGAGCTCCTGAGTCTGAAAACGTTTTATTTTATTCAGCAATATCAGTGGTTTAATATGAATTATTACCTCTATCTCCTTCTCACTGTACAAAGGAAAATAATTTTTCTATTAAATTCTGGAAATACTAGTTACTAGCTTAGTTACATAACCTTAGTATCCCAACAGGATTGCTTAAGTGGGAGATAATGGCAAAATTTCCTCAGTGTCCTCCTTTAGTGTTTTACTCTTTACATTAAAACCCAAAATTTTCACAACTCATTGTACTACCACTAAATTTCCATGAATGCCTATGCAATTGGCTGCCAAAATCATGAGTAAGAGAGTTGGAACAAGGTACATTTTAAATATTCAAGAACATATGCTCATTTAGGGTTTTTATATCAGCCTTCTTTACTGAACTTTAGTGAAATAAGTAAATTTTCATGAAGTTCCTCATTTTAACCACATTTAACCACAGGGAATAATCTAAAATTTATAGTGTTTCCAGACCACTTATTCATGAAAGCACATAAGCAGACACTTAACTTTAAGATCAACATTTTATTAGCTTCCTAATATTGGATGATCCATTCCATTTTATAAACCTACATAAGGAACCTTCCTAAATTAGGTTTTACCAGATTAGGAACTAGCACTTTACAAACTCATTTTAAACTGTAAATACTCAATACAGGGTTCTGTGCAATGAGGATTTAATGTTTAAAGTATTTGAAACAAATAAACATAAATGAAAATAACAAAAAAAAAGTTTATTGCAATTATTCTTTGTTAAAGGGCACCTTACCAATTTAGTGCTAATGATGTGTTCAAATGTTTCTGGTCTTGCAGATAACGTATATGCAGAGCCTCTTGTAAGCTAAACAAATTTATTCAACTTACCCAGTGATTTTCAAAGTTGTTGGCAATCAGCGCTGAGCCAAAAGATCTGGCTGGGTTTATTCCACAACCAGTGTAATCAATCTAGGAGGTGGAAAAAGAACCAGTGATGAACATGTGGCATCGTCATTACACAGGAGGGCAAGTGGCAGACTACAGCACGGTCTGGGTGCTCACAACAGCTTCATTCATCCCACCCACTCTTCCTCAGAAAAAGGGGGAAAGACTGTTTGCCATGTGTCTGTCCTGTCCCACTGGGGAAACTGGTCCCACTGCAGCGACTCCTCCCAGACGTGCAACCTCATCACTTATTGCAGCAGCCATGTGGCCCAAGAAAGAAGGACTATGCGTGTCACCAAAACAAGGTCAATCTCTGAAGTGGAGGGAGAAGGAAGAAACTACCATCTACCCACATTCTTCCTGCCTTCCCTGGGCCATCCTGAGGGGCAACATTGCAGATACCAACTGTGAGAGCTAAAACTTACCGCAAGAAGATGTCCCAAGGCAACAGAGAGACCAATGGCCAAAGGTGCTGATCCTGAGACATCATTCCTTCTCCGGTCTGTGGTGGCAAGGACACACAACACCAGCTGGAAGGTAGCAATGATTTCGATACCTAGTCCTTGGCCTGCATTGACTCCATCTGAAAGCTGCATGGAGACAAGAGGGAAAGTGTCACTTGATATTCCTACCTGACTTCAACCAATACAGCGAAGTTTTGCAGGATCTACTTTCTCAATAGGAGAATGCAGACCTATACAGCCATTTCTCTTCTCAGGTTGCTTTTGTTTAACAGGAAAAAAAGTGAACGGAAATTAATTTTGAAACACTCACTGCTGTACTCAAGTCTAGGTGGTTGTTGGTGATTCAACGTGATTGCATGGTGGCTGCATCCAGCCAAAGTGAATGCTCAACCACTAGACACCATGAGAATGTGTGAGAAAAAATAAGCCAGAGATTCACCTTCAGTAGAGTTTACCCATAGAAGTGAAGTTTGGTGCCTTGAGATATTTATTCATTGCTTCTGAGAATGAGGATCCTGTGGTCATGTTAAGCACTGCTCAGCTTGCCTTCATCAGCAATTACTAAGCAAACAAGGGCAGGAGGAGGAAGTTCTGAATACTTCTGGGTAGCTTGCAAGTACCTATCGCTGCTACTGACAAGTCACATTCTTCTCTTGTCCCACCACTACCTATTTTCTGTAACTCAGAATCATAGGATCATAGAATGGTTTGGTCTGGAAAGGACCTTCAAGATCATCGAGTTCCACCCCCCTGCCATGGGCAGGGACACCTCCCACTAGCCCAGGTTGCTCAAAGCCTCATCCAGCCTGGCCTTGAACCCCTCCAGGGATGGGGCATCCACAGCTTCTCTGGGCAACCTGGGCCACTGCCTCACCACCCTCATAGTGAAAAATTTCTTCCTAATGTCTAGTCTAAATTTACCCTCTTTTAGCTTATACCCATTACTCCTTGTCCATATTCTAACTGCATTCTTAATCATGACATCAGTAGAGTTTCTTATTAATGTAAATGCTGAAGAACATATTGAAACCGCAGTAATTCACATAAACAAATATAATACAGTAGAAACGCTGTCATATTTCAGGAGTGCTGTTAGAAACTTGTGCTTAACTAGAAACCATGGAGCTTAACTGTTCAGTGTTATAACAAGTGTTGAATTCTGCTTCTAATTGCTATACTCAGTGGTATTTTAGTTAAGACAAGACAAGCCTATATCTGAGCTGAGTAACTTGGTGTTAAGTAGAAATATCTACATTGAACAGAAAGGATGAAACATGAGCTTGGACACAGGCCAGAGAAACTGAGAATGTGAGTGACTCAGTAGGAAACAAACTCTGCAAAACTTACACTCAAAAATAGTGCTATCAGTGGGTTATCTCATCTGTCATAGCCTCTGCATTAAAGATTGCTAGGTCATACATGACAACAACATAATTAAATGTTATTATGACCTGTCCAGAACAATGAACTTATGGGAAATCGTGCTTTAAGTCTGGTTTTGCGGTTTTACGCTCTAATTTCCTCAAAACTAATATTTGAATAACCTTAAAACTTAAAGATGTTTAGCTGAACTCTTTCATTCTCTGCCTTTGCTATTCACTTTTCTTGTTTCTTCTCTGTAACCAAGCAGCATAATATCAAATTCCTAAGCACTGAAAAATAATTGACTGAGTCTTCAGCCTGCATAATTCTGATTAGCTACATTAAAACCAGTGAAAATATATTGATTTCTAGGATCTTCCAATCTGAGGCACTAATAATATATTTTTATATCTTGTTCTTTAATACAGAGGACTGACATTCCTTGAGTTAGAAGCAGTTTATCCATGGGCAGAAGTGAATTCCAGTTGAAAGGGTTGGCATTTTGGTTCCTTTGGCATCCATACAGTAAAAAGTTATATCAGTTACTGAAACCTGCAACATTAACAGGACTTACATATGCAAAATGCAAGTCTGACATAAACATATACAGATATGCTGGCAGTAAAAATGGCAGAAATTCATCCTGAATGCCTGACACATCATTAAATTAATAGTCTATTACTTTTGTCATTCCCTTTTAAAAATAATTACTTTCTCTGGCTGCAGAGACAATGGGATTTGTAGCTCTCAACAAATTAGGATTTAAATGCATCTTATTGATGTAAAAAGTAATAGAATCACTTCAAGAATCTGGATTATAGACTCTGGAAAATCCTAGCCCACATTTGGAGGGCCAAATGGTCAAAATTAAAAGGTAAGAAGCTAAATTCTCTTCTGTCATAAGGCAACTGTTAAACCCTAGACTATCTAGACATGAGGTCTGACGCATTGATGTTAGTATTTGAAAAGGCCTTGGCATTTCAAGCGATTGAACACTGACCTGCCATTAGTCTTTCACTTCGTTTGAAGGGCTTCCATAAAAGAAAAAAAACAGTAAGAGAAAAATTGTGCCTTTAAAACCTGTGATAATTCTTATCTTTAAGAGGCGGAAATCACATTCTTCCTTTCCCTCCAGGAAAACACATCCTACAGCTGACGTGACTGGAGGTTATTCCCTGCTAATCAACACTTATTGATGGGCTGTGTGGAATCAAAGAAAACCTGGAAATATCATAGGAAACCTTTTGCTTTCCTCTAGCATGTAATTTTACGCAAGCTGACAGGGACGTAAGATTCCACTGTGAGAGCAAGGACTCTGGGCCATGTTCCAACAGGAGGCAAATCAAGGCAAACCTTGGATGTTCTGCTTTGTTGTGGTCTGTGGATCTGCTGTACAGAAGTGCAGCATCACAGAGGTTTGCTGTTCGCCTGCATGTCAGAGCTACAACGTCAATACAACAGGAACCTGGACCCTCCAGGAAACAGCAGCCCATGGAAGGCCACGATTCTTCACCACCCTAACCACACCCCAGCCAAAGAATAACACGGGTAGTAGGAAGGTGTATTTCCTAGCTTCAAGTTAAAATGTGCATAAAACTTGTGTGTGTACTTAAGTTTATACAATCCCTAGTCTCAGGGGATTTGCAAGAGTTACCTAGCTAACAACGCAATATAAAACATGTTGCACCTTTTAAATCTGCTGGTTTAAGCCCTTGACGGAACCAGGTAGGCATGACCAACATGAGCTGGTTACCCTCGAGTTGTATTTTCCATGCATTATTCTGATTTTTTTAAGGAAAGCTTGAATATTTCTAGAATACCTGACTCCAGAAACTTCAGCCACTGGTAAGGTCAGGGCTGCCTGGAGCTTGGTCTGAATCTAGTTCCAAGGGACACGATGTGTTAGAGACCTGACTGTCTGAGGCTGCCAATAAAACAAAGGCAAAAATCAAACACTGCTCTTAACATCTAGCATTCTGCTGCTGCAAATATCCAGAATATAAGGTAACCATGTCTATGGTTCTTAAATAAATAGAATAATACCTTGAAACATAAGACCCAGTCATCTCTCCTGTAGGGTTGGGGTGAAGGGCTCCTTTCCCAGTACCCACACTGAAATGACTCTTTTCCTTGCATTGGTAGGCTGCTTCCCAGCAGTGACAGCAAAGTACGTGGGCAGGGTATGTAGGCTGACACTGCATTTGCCCTTCATTTATCTGTGGGGAAACCTCTGACTTCTCATCTCAGTCCAATAACTCTCACATGCTCTGGATTTTAGGTGATGGTAATTAAGGCAACAGCAAACAAGTCAGCGGGCAGGGAACAGCACAGCAACTCCCTGACCTTTTCATGCTTCCGACTTGTGAGGCTTGAAGAGAGGATTCAGTGCTTTAAGGAACCAAATGTACTCTGAGGTAGTAAAATAAAATACACAAGCCCATGTTCATCTCCAATAGTTTCCCACACCATGGGAGTCGATCCAGACTTCTTTTTTGTTCACATGAACTGTTCTACTAAACTTCATTTCTACATCACTATTTTGACAGCAGAAGCACCACAAACATACCCAAGAAATGGGTTACATCATTGGCAAGAGCTGAGAGTTCTGTGTAGACACATATATTGATCAGCTGAACCACTCTCTCACCTGCATTAGCTTTCTCTGAGTAATTATCTTGACTGTAATTGCACCTGGACCACAAGCAGAAGCCTAGATATAGACACCTCAAGAGAGGTTTATCCTTCTCTGAGCTGAGTCCCAATGTTAGTATTCTTACCTGAGTTCCTCATGAATTTGAACAAGTTTCTGGAAGAAAATCCACTGGAATTCAGTAAATTTATGGAAATTGTATCTCATTCAGAAAGCTGCTGAACTGCAACTGGTTGGAAGCGAAGGAAGCACTTGAGGCATGCCGAACCCCTCTGCTTTCCATTACTGGATGTAGGGATGAGGCAAAATATCTATTCCCCATTCAAAGTTTTGCTTTATCTAGTAATGCAAACCAGCAATCTGGTTTGAGTTCAGTGCTGACTCTGCTTTGGCCAAGAGGTTGGACTAGAGATCTCCTGACATCCCTTCCAGCATGAGTTATCAGAAGATAATGAATAAGATAATGAATTATCAAAGACGTCGGTTCTTTGGAAAGGTTCTTCCTGTGGGAATGTCTGGGACGGAATTGCCTCAATGCTGCTCTGGCTTGGCTGAGTTAATGTCTGGAAACAGCTGGTGACATGTGCAGACAGTGGAGACACAGCTGATGGATCGATCACCGTCAAGGCTCCGCATAGATATAGTCCCTATAGGAGAGTGAGCCAAAAGACATGTAATATAATCAAATGAGGACTATTAAACCCAAGGGCAAAATTAATGGAAAATCATTATCTAGTCATGACCATGAGAGTAACTCATTGAGAAGAACACCTGTTTTTTGTTCTTAGGAAATGAGTAGCCATCACATTGTTTCCATTTCTCCACGACGTCAGACAGGAGACGGGAACTACGGAAGCTTGTTTCTCAGAAGTGCCCTTAACTGCCATGTTTAGCTGCCTGACTTCCACAGCTCCAAGCAGTAATATGGGCAAATTAATGTTATGTTTTCTTTCCTTTTGTATTTCTTTTTAGAGCAGGATATTTATTAGTTGTCTGCCTTCAGATGAGAAATGGGGACAGGAAATTAATCTGGCCCAAGGTAAACCTGACTGTGTACTTCTCTAGTGGCTTCATATTTTTCTCATTAGGAATAAAAGTATATCAGGTTCAAAGC